GAGGAGCATACTACACTTACTACACTTACTACGTATACTACGCTTCTACGCTGGGGTGGGGTCAGGCTAGGAGCATGTTTCACTTACTACACTTACTACGCATACTACGTATACTACGCTACTACGCTGGGGTAGGGTCAGGCTAGGAGCATACTACACTTACTACACTTACTACGTATACTACGCTACTACGCTGGGGTGGGGTCTGGCTAGGAGCATACTACACTTACTACATTTACTACGCATACTACGCTACTACGCTGGGGTAGGGTCAGGCTAGGAGCATGCTACACTTACTACACTTACTACACTAACTACGTATACTACGCTACTACGCTGGGGTAGGGTCAGGCTAGGAGCATACTACACTTACTACACTTACTACGTATACTACGCTACTACGCTGGGGTAGGGTCAGGCTAGGAGCATACTACACTTACTACGTATACTACGCTACTACGCTTGGGTAGGGTCAGGCGAGGAGCATACTACACTTACTACGTATACTACGCTACAACGCTGGGGTGGGGTCAAGCTAGAAGCTTGCTACACTTACTACACTCACTACGCATACTACGCTTCTACGCTGGGGTAGGGTCAGGCTAGGAGCATGCTACACTTACTACACTTACTACGTATACTACGCTACTACTCTGGGGTAGGGTCAGGCTAGGAGCATACTACACTTACTACACTTACTACGTATACTACGCTACTACGCTGGGGTAGGGTCAGGCTAGGAGCATACTACACTTACTACGTATACTACGCTACTTCGTTACTACGCTGGGGTAGGGTCAGGCGAGGAGCATACTACACTTACTACACTTACTACGTATACTACGCTACTACGCTGGGGTGGGGTCAGACTAGAAGCATGCTACACTTACTACACTTACTACGCATACTACGCTACTACGCTGGGGTAGGGTCAGGCTAGGAGCATACTACACTAACTACACTTACTAAACTTACTACGTATACTACGCTACTACGCTGGGGTAGGGCCAGGCTAGGAGCATAATACACTTACTACACTTACTACGTATACTACGCTACTACGCTGGGGTGGGGTCAGGCTAGGAGCATACTACACTTACTACACTTACTACGTATACTACGCTACTACGCTGGGGTAGGGTCAGGCTAGGAGCATACTACACTTACTACACTTACTGCGTATACTACGCTACTACGCTGGGGTAGGGTCAGGCTAGGAGCATACTACACTTACTACACTTACTACATATACTACGCTACTACGCTGGGGTAGGGTCAGGCGAGGAGCATACTACACTTACTACACTTACTACGTATACTACGCTACTACGCTGGGGTGGGGTCAGGCTAGGAGCATGCTACACTTACTACACTTACTACGCATACTACGTATACTACGCTACTACGCTGGGGTAGGGTCAGGCTAGGAGCATACTACACTTACTACACTTACTACGTATACTACGCTACTACGCTGGGGTGGGGTCTGGCTAGGAGCATACTACACTTACTACATTTACTACGCATACTACGTATACTACGCTACTACGCTGGGGTAGGGTCAGGCTAGGAGCATGCTACACTTACTACACTTACTATGTATACTACGCTACTACGCTGGGGTAGGGTCAGGCTAGGAGCATACTACACTCACTACACTTACTACGTATACTACGCTACTACACTGGGGTAAGGTCAGGCTAGTAGCATACTACACTTACTACGTATACTACGCTACTACGCTGGGGTGAGGGTCAGGCTAGGAGCATACTACACTTACTACACTTACTACGCATACTACGTATACTACGCTACTACGCTGGGGTGGGGTCAGGCTAGGAGCATGCTACACTCACTACACTTACTACGCATACTACGCTACTACGCTGGGGTAGGGTCAGGCTAGGAGCATACTACACTTACTACACTTACTACGTATACTACGCTACTACGCTGGGGTGGGGTCAGGCTAGGAGCATGCTACACTTACTACACTTACTACGTATACTACGCTACTACGCTGGGGTGGGGTCAGGCTAGGAGCTCACTACACTTACTACGTATACTACGCTACTACGCTTGGGTAGGGTCAGGCGAGGAGCATACTACACTTACTACGTATACTACGCTACTACGCTGGGGTGGGGTCAGGCTAGGAGCATGCTACACTTACTACACTTACTACGCATACTACGTATACTACGCTACTACGCTGGGGTAGGGTCAGGCGAGGAGCATACTACACTTACTACACTTACTACGTATACTACGCTTCTACGCTGGGGTGGGGTCAGGCTAGGAGCATGCTACACTTACTACACTTACTACGCATACTACGTATACTACGCTACTACGCTGGGGTAGGGTCAGGCTAGGAGCATACTACACTTACTACACTTACTACGTATACTACGCTACTACGCTGGGGTGGGGTCTGGCTAGGAGCATACTACACTTACTACATTTACTACGCATACTACGTATACTACGCTACTACGCTGGGGTAGGGTCAGGCTAGGAGCATGCTACACTCACTACACTTACTACGCATACTACGCTACTACGCTGGGGTAGGGTCAGGCTAGGAGCATACTACACTTACTACACTTACTACGTATACTACGCTACTACGCTGGGGTGGGGTCAGGCTAGGAGCATGCTACACTTACTACACTTACTACGTATACTACGCTACTACGCTGGGGTGGGGTCAGGCTAGGAGCTCACTACACTCACTACACATACTACGCTACTACGATGGGGCAGGGGTCAGGCTAGGAGCATAGTACACTTACTACACATACTACGTATACTACGCAGCTAGGCTGGGGTGGTCTCAGGCTATGACTGTTTTCACATGGTCGTGCGGCACATGCATGAGAGTTTTCATATAGGGCATTCGGGTGATTAGCGGCCATGTTAGACCTAATGAGGTCGCATGAGCTTACAAAACGCTTCTTCCAAAGTTTGATTAAATTGCAGTTTGATTTGCAAGCCCACGTTTATAAACTTATTAGGCCTGATAGGATCTGAATTGACCGTTGATGAGTTACTAGATATTAATCAAATCGGATGACACAGGAAGAACTACCTAGAGGCCAAAATTATATGAATTAAAGCACCAAAATTTCTATTTTTTTATTCTGCCACTCTGATTTAAAAGTTTCAAAATATTGAGGTATGTTACCTTCTTCTTAGGCTACTATATTGGCTAGAGATTAAATTGTCTACATTGACTGCCGAAACTGGATAATCATGTTAACGATGCATAATATTTTTGGAAAAATATAAAAAGAAATTCTGAAATTACTTTTGCGACGTCTTGATCCTTGGCTCTGATGCCTTGTACAGTAACATTAATATCCAGTGGAGGTACCGTTTCCTCCTTTGTATAATAGCCTAGTGAATGGCAACAGACGCAGGCCTGTCAAGTGTCCCGCAATTTGTGTATTTGCTGAAGAAATTGAAGTCACGCCAGTATTTTTGCGTGACAGAATATGTCACACTGACACAAATACACCTCCTCTGATTATTGTCGAGCAAAAATCTATCTGGAGAAGAACATCAAAAAAATAAATCACAGAAAAAATGTCATGTGAATTGCGCATATGTCACACATTTGCTTCGAAATTTTTGTCTCCCTGCCTGAAAATCAAGATATTCATGTAATTATTAAACTATACTTTAATGTTTAGATGGCACCACAATTCATATCAAAGCTCAGGTGAAATTGTGGTCTTTCACCCTTTCATATATATGGAAAAGGCAAAGTATTTTATTGGTCATATTGCACAGTGGTACTATAGGGGGGCACTACCTCTTAAGTATGCATTCTGCAAAAATACTGTTCATTCTTTTAAATATGAAGTTATCCCTATTCAAATAATATTATATCTAGCTTTATATATTTGACAACAACCCTGATATATACATATTTATGAAGCATAATTACAATGTTTGTCATTAGTTATGCACTGAAATGGATGTGATGTGTGACACAATCATTCAAGAGACATCCCAAACTATACATCTGACATATAAAGAACAATGGGCTGATAACTCAACAAGGCGCTTATAGTCTATTATGATAAATAAACTATACTACCTGTACATGTAGTAAGTATACTATTCTTATGTATTGCTCTCATGTACATTGGCACTAGCATTGTTACATATCTTTCATATAGCACAACCACTCAAATGCATGATATGTGGCGCTGAATGGTCATCAGCACTATCTTTTTTCATAGGGTTAACCACATATCCAGAATATGGTATGATATTGAAATAAGACCATTATGCACACACCGTACATCATATTTTAAGTTCAAGTTTGAAGTACATGTTAAAGTCTTATACACTACAATGTAATTGAGAAATGTGTAAATCTAGGTGACAATACATGTATGCCCCATTCAAGGAGGTCAAAAGTTTGGCATCACCTGTTGTCTAAGTTTGAGAGCACCTAAGCATTTCACAATCATCATTTACATCTATTGTGCTCCCGGGGTTTTCTCAAAATATCATTTTGGGTCTGCCAAAGTTCTGATTCATAGAAATGATAATATCTCTGATATCAAGTCGTCATGTGTATCAAAAAATGGCAAATGATTTTACATTGAAGAGAAGGATGAAAATGAGATTTGGGATTTATTGGAGAAAAATTCTCAAAAAAATTCAACTGAAAATACAGTTCATTGTATCTGTGATATTTGCTCTAAATACAATTTAAGTATAGGCCTAAGATATGATATAGATGATTGTTTTCTCTATTTGTACATGTAAATGAAATAAGTTTTTTGATACAGTATTGTCTTTGCTGTAACTTCATCTTTATCAGCATCTTATAAAGTCGAAAAGAAATGCTATTTATGCAGCTCCTCTCTATTCTATTGTTGGTCATTCACCAAATGGGCTTTTGGCATATTTTGAGATGTGTCCTTGAAATTTGTACATTATTAATCTATTTGGCAAACATTCTTATCATTTTACATGTGAGAGTCAGTGTCCATGTATTATTTCTTACATCTTGCATGTGGTAAATCATTACATTAGATAACATTATAGCCTACAATTTATGAAGCTTTGCAGTTCATATACATTGTAAGTGAAAACCTGGCAACATCTTGGGAAATAGCCTCATCATATAATTTCTAATCAGGACACAGTGGATATATAAATTCAAAAGGACTAAAAGCAAAATCAAACACTTTTTCACCGTCAAAAAGCAATGGATTTTAGGAAAAAATCAAGGCATTATCACATTCAAAATAAAATCAAACATTTCTGACTTGTTGGAATCAAGAAATGACTAAAATCTACGTAGCACCTTTAAATTAATCATTCCCTATTAAATATTAATCTGTGTTCTCTACTTTAGGACTGAGTGACCTGATCAAGGCCAGTTGAAGAAGTAAGATGGCCCTGATTGGTTGGAATAGTGTGAGAGGTATTGCAAAACACTTATCTAGGAACAGATCAGCTGTTTGTAGCACATGCATAACCTGTAAGCCAGCATTGCAGAGCAAGTTACAGTCTGTTTATATTTTACAAACTGCCAGTATGTCGGGTAAGTGGGATTTATTGTTACGCTACATTTATAGAGTTATATATGTTGCTTCATAATCTGAATGTAATGGGTATAAAGTCCAGTTCTGAATGTTCCACAGGTTTTTAACTGTACTGTGTCTGGTCCCTGCAGGGAGGGGTAGTAACATTTTCCTGAAACATGCAAATATTTTTGTATTTTTCAAGGGTTCATATACATTGTAAGTGAAAAGCTAGTAGCATCTTGAGAAATTGTCCCATCATATAATTTTTAATCAGGACACAATGGATATACATATGTATAAATTTAAAAGGACAAAATCCAAAATCAACCAAAATTTTCAATCAATGCCAAATTTTTCTGAGTTAAATACTTTTAAAAAGTCAAAAAATAAAAAAAAGTTCGAGTTTTCCATTTGAATTCACCATAAATAGTAAAACAAAACTTATCGAGTATCATAATTATGAAATAAACCATTATAAAATTACTATAATATTATATTTTGAATGGTGCACACTGACATTGGTTGAATGTCTAGCTTAAATTAATGAAACTCAACTTTAAAAGTTATAAGGTGTTTTATTGTCTGCATGCAACATACTCCAGATCTTATTCAAGTTAAATATAGTAAGTAAATCAACTATTCTAGAGGGCAAAATGCCATGTCATTGTTTGCAGTAAAGCTTTTACTCTCTATTGTATATGAAATTGTCGGCAAAGACTACAGTTCAATTCAGCAGTAATGTCAATAAACCCTAAAAAATAAGCAATCAAAAGAACACAGGGCTATATGATATGAAAACACTCAAATTTTACATGAAAAATGTTTTCATATGTTGGCTTGCATGACTTTGTCCTCTTATAAAATTAACATGACTGAAACTTCTATTTAATTACAAGATGTTTATTGGATATAAAGCTAGTTTATCTGAAATAAACAAATGTTTTAAATGTAAAATCTGAATGTATTTTCCCATATAACCATAAAAAACAAAGGATTAGACTGTAATAAAATCAGAATTGATGACATAACTTGGCATGATGTCAGCAAATTCTTTGCTAAATTAGTACAACACATGAACAAGAAATGCTCTCCGGACTGGCCAAAACTGTTCCTTGTAGACAGGTGTTCCCTATAGAGAGGATTCAAGCTTTGGCCAACCAGAATTACCGACTAAGCATTTATAGATGAATTACTGATGGGATATGTCAGAGTTGTTGCTTAGAACGCTATTCAATTTTTGTCAAGTTTAGAGCATTTATAATCTGAAAATTTGGATCTTGGAAAATTTAGCTCAATATTTCACTAGTTGTTGTCTGCTGGTTCTTGATAAAGGTTTTCAAATTTTCTGAATAATTTTTTGACATTTTTGAAATCTCAAAGGAGTATCCATAACATTTTTCCTATGGGTTTCCATCAAAATAGTTTGGAATATTATTTTGAAATGTTTTGGGGGTTGTTCCTCTGTAAACTTTTGGGCATCAGGGTTGCCATTTGTCAGTAAAGTAATTTCTAAGATTTTAGAGCAATATACTGTTTCATAGATTGATTTATAATTTCTATGGATGTACGGATGTAACTGATAATTATTGGGAAAAATATTAAGGTAACCATTTCAGAATTAGCTTACTATTTAGTATTTAGATACTGGGTTATCTAGTTCCAATCCCATCTCTATGTTCTGAACCTGAGGGTCTTGGCATCAGATAAGCACTGGGTTGTATAACTATTGATACATGACTCAACGGTCTGACAGTCTATGTTGTTCACACATGTTTATAACTATACTTTTATTTTTGGAATATTAGCATTAATACATTAACATACAGTTTGTAGCATGGTATGGTATTTTGCAGGCTCCACCAATGACACATTATACACCAAAGAGGTGAAAGGCTTCCTGGATGACCTCTACAAACTTGTCATGGATGAGGCCATGGTGAAGGGAACTGACAGAGCTGAGAAGGTTGTTGACTTCAAACACCCTGAAGAATTAAAAGTATGTTCATATATTTCTTCAGTAGGAGTGTCTACAGATACATCGATACAAGCATTCTCTATCTCATGTAACTGTATTCTCCATATCATAGCACTGTTATCTCTACCTCATGTTCTTTACCTCATAGCAGTGAGCACTGTTTTCTCTACCTCATGTAACTGTATTTTCAACTTCATAGCACTGTTTCTCTACCTGATATAACTCTATTCTCAACTTCATAGCACTGTTTCTCTACCTCATATAACTGTATTTCCAACCTCATAGCACTGTTTTATCTACCTCATGTAACTGTATTCTCTATCTCATAGCACTGTTTTCTCTACCTCATGTAACTGTATTCTCAACTTCATAGCACTGTTTCTCTACCTCATGTAACTGTATTTTCAACCTCATAGGACTGTTTTCTCTAGCTCATGTAACTGTATTTCCAACCTTACAGCAATGTTTTCTCTAGCTCATGTAACTGTTTTTTCAACTTCATAGCACTGTTTCTCTACCTCATGTAACTGTATTCTCAACTTCATAGCACTGTTTCTCTACCTCATGTAACTGTATTCTCAACTTCATAGCACTGTTTCTCTACCTCATGTCACTGTATTTTCAACCTCATAGCACTGTTTTCTCTACCTCATGTAACTGTATTCTCAACTTCATAGCACTGTTTCTCTACCTCATGTCACTGTATTTTCAACCTCATAGCACTGTTTTCTCTACCTCATGTAACTGTATTCTCAACTTCATAGCACTGTTTCTCTACCTCATGTAACTGTATTTCCAACCTCATAGGACTGTTTTCTCTAGCTCATGTAACTGTATTTCCAACCTTATAGCAATGTTTTCTCTAGCTCATGTAACTGTATTTTCAACTTCATAGCACTGTTTCTCTACCTCATGTAACTGTATTCTCAACTTCATAGCACTGTTTCTCTACCTCATGTAACTGTATTCTCAACTTCATAGCACTGTTTCTCTACCTCATGTCACTGTATTTTCAACCTCATAGCACTGTTTTCTCTACCTCATGTAACTGTATTCTCAACTTCATAGCGCTATATTCTATACCTCATGTAACTGTATTCTCAACTTCATAGCACTGTTTCTCTACCTCATGTAACTGTATTCTCAACTTCATAGCACTGTTTCTCTACCTCATGTCACTGTATTTTCAACCTCATAGCACTGTTTTCTCTACCTCATGTAACTGTATTCTCAACTTCATAGCGCTATATTCTATACCTCATGGCACTGTACTTTCAACTTCATAGCACTGTTTCTCTACCTCATGTAACTGTACTTTCAACCTCAAAGCACTGTTTTCTGTACCTCATGTAACTGTACTTTCAACCTCATAGCACTGTTTCTCTACCTCATGTAACTGTATTCTCAACTTCATAGCACTGTTTCTCTACCTCATGTAACTGTACTTTCAACCTCATAGCACTGTTTCTCTACCTCGTGTAACTGTACTTTCAACCTCATAGCACTGTTTCTCTACCTCATGTAACTGTACTTTCAACTTCATAGCACTGTTTCTCTACCTCGTGTAACTGTACTTTCAACCTCATAGCACTGTTTCTGTACCTCATGTAACTGTACTTTCAACGTCATAGTACTGTTTTTCTACCTCATGTAACTGTATTCTCAACTTCATAGCACTGTTTCTCTACCTCATGTAACTGTACTTTCAACCTCATAGCACTGTTTTCTGTACCTCATGTAACTGTACTTTCAACCTCATAGCACTGTTTCTCTACCTCATGTAACTGTATTCTCAACTTCATAGCACTGTTTCTCTACCTCATGTAACTGTACTTTCAACCTCATAGCACTGTTTTCTGTACCTCATGTAACTGTATTCTATACCTCATGGCACTGTTTTTTCTCCCTTGTGCAGCTGTATTCTTTCCTTCAAGGACAGTATTTTCTACCTCATTGAACTGTTTTCAGTACCTCATCGGGCTGTATTTACGACCTCATCTGATGGTAATTTATTACATCATGTGACTGTTTAGACTAGTCACTACCTCATTGAAATGTACCTCTGTATACTGTACTTGAAATAATTTGAAATAATGACTGTGCCCCATCTATTTTCTATCCTTCCCAAGAATCATTCATTATTCACATGATTATGTGATTATTACATGATTATCTCCTCTGTGACAACTTGCCCTATAAATGTACAATATTTTTCATTTGTAGGCATTGTTGGGCTTAAGTATAGGGGAGACAGGGGCAACTAATGAGGAATTATTGGAGGCATGTCGAAAGGCTATAAAATACAGTGTACATACAGGTAAGTGGGATTTTAGAATACTTTATATTCTGTCCAAACCTCTTGTATGTTTGCTAGAGGAGAGTTTAAACAAGAAGGCCATTTTCCTCATTTGCCTCATTTACTTATATGGGAGGGGGTACATTATTACCTAACAGGCCCGTAGCCAGGATTTGCCAAGGGGGGGTTCAATTTTCAAAAATTTAAAGGGGGGTTCACATTTGACAATTTTGGCCCAAATTAGGCTAAAATCACTTGAGAAGTGCTCAAAATGGTCAAAAACTGCATGATTTTGAAAGAATTTTTGGCCAGGGGCGAACCCCCCCTGGCTACGGGCCTGCCTAACATATAGCTTATCTAAGTGGTCCAGTGTCTTCACTGGGAGAGACAGTAGTGCACCTTCCATATACCGTATTAATGCTGTAATATCAAAAACGTATTGGAGGAAAAGAAATATTGAAGGCATTCAGTTAGAGTACATGTAGAAATGACATATTATGGCATTTTTAGCCTGTGGAGCTGAACATAACTGTTTGTGAATTTCAGGACATCCTTTGTTTATAAACCAACTTTATTGTGGAGGTGATCCCTATGGAATAGCTGGATCATGGGTCGTTGAGGCTCTTAACACAAATCAGTGAGTATCTCAGCTATTCATTTGGTCATTTAAAGAAGTGCTTTGGAAACTGAACATGAAAAAGTAACAATGGAGAAATGTTTGGGGAAATGAATCTTTTTAATATGTACAGTATAAGAAGGACAGCAACTGGAAAGCCAAAATAGTATGTGCTTGTACGTACTAATTTGTTGGTAAACACAATGTGATATGCTTATGTGTTGGTGATCTAGAATAACACAAATGCTTGTACATGTATTTTGTTCATTTCAGACATACATATGAAGTTGCCCCAGCATTCATCCTCACAGAGGCATTCATTGTGGAGAAAATGAAAAGTTTTGTGGGATACAAAGGAGGAGATGGCATTTTCTCGCCAGGTGACAAAAACAGCATTTCTACCTAATAAACATCATTCAGCCAAGTCATATTGTTCATCAGATAGTAGAATTGAAACTTTATGAACAAAGCAAAAACAAAAGTGCCTCTGCATTGATTGCTTGATAGAATTAGAATTCAAAGCCATGATGACTGAACAATAATTCGATTAATTTTTGTAGAAAACATTAATCAGAAATCCTAAAAATGAAATTAACATTTTTCATGGCATTTTCAATGTTTACACATGTTGTTTCATATTAATGTACATTTATTTAATAGGTGGCTCCCTGGCTAATATGTTTGGTATACACCTTGCCCGATTTAGCCATGAAGAATCCCTCAACTCAACTGGTCTCTTCAACTCCAAGAGACTCATGTTATTCACTTCTGATGAGGTAAGTTACTACTATTTTCACAAATGTGTGTCAAATTTAACATTTTTCAAACAAAGCCATTGTTTATCATTTCAAAAGAATTCACATTTCATTTCTTCATTTAAATTAAAAAAAAGTTTCACAAACCCTCCTTCATAGCATATGTTAATAATACAATATTAGCTAAAGATGTTCAAATATGGAGCCTTTGAGGAGAAACTTGGTAGTCCTGCATTAAACCCTCATTCATGCTATCCACTCCTATTAAACATAGGCTGTTAATAAAGTTATAATAGGAGGTGATAGGGACTTGATATTAGACGGTAACATGATTTATTTTAAAAAACTTACTGTTGAAGCATTAGCAATTAAGCTAAACTCATTCTAATTTGTGCAACAACAGAATGACTTAACATTGTGGAAGATCAAAGAGCATTACAAGCAATCAAGAAAGGAAATAACATAGAATACAACCGGAAACATGAAAAACACACCCCAGTATCCCAAACTATTTTATTTTCAAGTTGTTTGAAATATTGTTAGCATAGTAAATATCAATGATCAATTCCACTTGTTTTCTTTGCATTCAGGCTCATTATTCAACAAGTAAAGGTAGTTCCTTCATGGGGTTCGGGCGGGACTCTGTTGTCTCAATTAAAACAGACAGCCAAGGTCGCATGATGGCAAGTGATCTAGAGGAGAAGGTCAATGAATGTATAGCCAAGGTAAATAGATATTTCTTACAAATAGTACTACTGTATGTTGTAAAGCATACCTTTTGCCTTGGATATGAAGATTCGGCTACCAATTTCCGCTATTATAATGATGTTCATCATACATAGTATGTATTTTGTGGTGTCATTGTATATTACAGGACTGTATTCCCCTGTGTCCTGGCCACATATGTGGTACAATTGTATGATATATTATACATTATAGGACTGTATTCCTCTGTGGCATGGCCACATGCTGTACCATTGTATGACATCATTATATATTAACAGAACTGTATTCCTCGCTGTGTAGTGGCCACATGTGGTACCATTGTATGACATCATTATATATAACAGAACTGTATTCCTCTCTGTGTAGTGGCCACAGGTGGTACCATTGTATGACATCATTATATACATGTATTACAGGACTGTATTCCTCTCTGTGTAGTGGCCACATGTGGTACAACAGTACTAGGTGCCTATGATGATCTTAATGCTATAGCAGATGTATGTGAAAAACACAAGATGTGGATGCACATTGATGTAAGTTGATTTCATGTACATTTATTTTGCACAATTGTAAACCTGTCAAAAGATGAACAGGCTAACATGAGGATATGCAGTTCAATACAATTACCACAATTATTATGTCACCACTAGAAGGGGTGACATATTGTTGTAGTTTCCAATATTTTTGTGGATGGTGTTCAGTGGTTGGTGTGTGTCAGTTGGTGTTCGTTGACTGGTAGTCAGCATCTGTAACAAATGGCAGGTGGTGGCATTTTGCATGTTAATGCTTTAACCTTGTTCCTTTCAAATATGATTCAGAACATGAGATTTGATATTTGGGGGGTCTTATTGCAAAACTGTAATGCTATCAACAAGATTGCTTTGACCCACCTCCTCCAATTAAAATTGATTGCATTTTTTGACAAACAGTTATATAATGCAACTTCCTAATCTACATTGAATCTCTACTTTAGGCAGCCTGGGGTGGTAGTGCACTTCTGTCGAAGACTCATAGATCACTTATGAGTGGAGTTGAAAGGTACAGTACACAATAATTCATAAAATGTGACTTAAATGTTACCTCTCTTACAACCATTACTTTGTTGGTATTCACATCTTTAGATAACCACAGAGACTCGACATCAATTGTATTTATTTTGATATAATATGATATCCAATACTTGTGAAACCATGGGCTCTATCTAGAGCCCATGGTGAAACTAAAATAGATGTTTTATAAAACATTAACAATAATATTAATAGATGGTATAAAATCATATATTAGATTGCAGACATTAATATTTTATTATTCCAAAAGTACAGTGACAATATCATTAATAGAAGATACCTAAAGGGGCATATACAATTGTACATGTAATCCACTGCGGTATTTATGAACAAATTTACAAGAAACAAAAACCATGTGTATGTGTATATATTGCAGAAGTGACTCTATACTATGGAATGCTCACAAAATGATGAATGCCCAAGTCCAATGCTCAATGTTCCTTGTCAAGGAAAAGGTAATACATGTTGATTTCAATAACAATCATGCTTTAAAAAACCTTGAAGCTCAGACCAAGAATCAGGAATAAGACAAAAAATGTTTAAAATGCTGTCTAGTTAGCATCGTATCTTCCCCTAGGCCTAGTGTACTGATGGGTATTTGTACATGTATATAAAACTGAAGACATACCAGGTTCACAACTAAGTATAAAAGCATGATTGTCACCGTTCAACATATTGGCATTCAGTCCATTGCCCAATAGCAACCAGTTTTTGTAAGCCCATTGGCAATAGTGAAAATTGGCAGTCAGGTAGTCGTGAATTTTGAACCATGAGACATCGCTACACGTGAAGGAAGCCAGGAGCAATGGATGAATGAATGATATATTAACACATGTGATTTTATCAAACATTGCATTACTGCATGCCCATGCCTCAGCCAGTTTTTAACTCACTAAAGACAAGAAATAAAGGAGTAACATTGATTTTAATGATGTTTTTAACACTTTTATTTCATGACATCATGCAAACTTTTATTTGTTCCAGGGTCTGTTAGAGAGATGTAATTGTGGTAATGCCACGTACCTCTTCCAACAAGACAAGTTTTATGATGTGTCTTATGATACAGGTATGGGATGGGTCAATAACTTTGTCTCTTTTGCCCATAAAGATTTTTAATTCTACATTTAGATTTTTATATCACCATCAAGAATTGGTGACATATTTTAGTAGGCACTACATGTACTCTCCTTTGTGACCAGCATTCCGTTTTGACATTTGGAATTTGTAACTTTCAGTTTTGTAACCAATTCCAGGTGGTATTATGTTTATGCCTTGTTTCAATTTATTCGTTTTCATACTGATTGCATAGCTGACTGACCTATTTCATTGACATGAGTAAAAAAGAAAATCCACTTCTATCCAAATCTCTTTATATTTCAGGTGACAAGACCGTTCAGTGTGGCAGAAAAGCCGAAGCTTTTAAACTCTACCTAATGTGGAAGGCTAAGGGAGACAAAGGATTTGAGATGCAGATTGATAAAGCCTTTGATAATGCAAGGTAGATTTCTGATTGGTCAAACACAGCAAGGGGCAATTTTTGCAATAGTGGCAAAAGAAAAATAGCTCTGGTATTGACAAAGGGTCCCACAATAATCCAGATTTTTAAAAAATACTCCCAACAGACCTGATATTTATAAAGCGAGGTGCATTTCTGGTTCTTGCTAGAGTCAGCTTTTACTTTCTAATAAACGTTTATGATATAACTCGGGCTAGATTAAGGATAGCAGTAATGCTTTCAAGATTATTTCGATTTACAGGTACTTGACTGAGAAGGTCAGGGCAACAGAAGGCTTTAGGCCTGTATTACCAGAATTTCAGTGCACAAACATTTCATTCTGGTACATTCCCCCAAGTCTGAGAGGGCAGGAGGAGACACCAGAGTGGTGGGACAAAATCAGCAAGGTAAGCCTTCATAAAAAATATGTCTCCACCTTTGGAGACGATAACTATCAATTTGTAAACACCTGTGGTGGTGACGTAAAAACTCAATGTTGATAGTTCAATTGTAAATCTACTGCACATACTGTGTACCAGTGAAGTGAACTGTGTAAAGCTGAACATCCATTTACTATTCTGTTCAATTCAATTCAGATTTGAAGAACTTTCCAGTGTTATCTGTGACTCACCTTTTAAAAGTAGTTTGTGCCGAATTACAGTAAAACCTGTCCAAGTGGAACACCTTTGGTACCTCTAAAAAGTGTTCCACTTAAAAGGTGTTTATGTATCATTACGTCAATTGATCCCCTTAAAGGTGTTCCACTTCATAGGTTTCACTGTAGTTGCAATTGACTGTTTTGAGTCTCCCTGAGAGACATTTTATAGAAATTAGCTTCATGCCTCATCCATTTCCAGGTTGCTCCCAAGATCAAAGAAAGGATGGTCATGAAGGGCAATATGATGATTGGCTATCAGCCTTTGAAATACAGAAATATGGTCAATTTCTTCCGAGTAATTATCCAAAGTCCAGCGTTGAACTACAAGGATATGGACTTTATAGTTGAAGAAATTGACAGGCTTGGCCAGGACTTGTAAGTGCTTTAGGGAGATAGACTTTGAACAGTAAATGTGTATACTATACATATAGTTATGTACATGTATATACATTTAGGACATTAAAATGTACATTCATGTATGAATACACATATATTTTACTGATATTACAGCAGGGTATTCAGTATAGGAATCCTTTGTACAGTCTTATAAAAAACAGTTTATATAATTTATATATTGAATGATCAGACTTTATGTGTGCATGCTGCACCAATTACATCCTCTGAACACAGGCTTCCAGAACTCGTACATCCTTCTTCCAAGAAGGAAGGAACTTCGTGGATGACGTCTGGAACCCTGTGATCAGAGGATGCACCAATTAACTTATCTGTCAGTTTATAAATCTAAAGATTAGATACCATGTCTTATAATTTTAGTATTTAATTGATATGATTTTATACTCAACAGCTTTCTGACATGTGCAATATAGATTGAATCAATTGTGATATTATTTTTACCACATTAATGTAGTCTGAAAGTGATATCTCACAACATGCTTGATTACTGGATAATAATAATATTGGTTGGAAAATCCAACTTGTTGCTTGTAATTTTGTATACATCTGATTCTAGGTCAAAAAGCAACAATAAAATAAAGGGCTGGTGTAATAACTTTCCCAATGTGATTAGAATTATTTTTGAATAAAATACAACATAACATTACAAGTTGATTTAATTATTATTACTTTATTGTAGAGTGGTTGTTTTGCATGATGTTTGTGTATGATAATACTATACACATTGAATTTGACAAAGCTTAAATTATTTGTACATTTTATAGAGCATTACATTATTGAACAGGTCTATTCTACACAAATGCACAACTGTAACATAACAGCCATGTTGCATTAACCAACACCATGAATGTATTTTCTCAGATTAATTGTTGCATAAATATATGAGGCATTAACATGACAAAATGTCACCAACAGTTATTAGAAGTTGCAAGAATTTGTTATAGACACCGAACGCCAACCACATTGGAAGTTGCAAGAATTTGTTATAGACACCGAACGCCAACCACAGTCCACAAAAAAGTTGGATATAATATCTGGTTTTGACATAGTAATCTATCAACTTAGCCATTTGGATTCACTAGAGTGAGCAGTAACACTGTAAAGATTTAGACCAAGAAATGTATTCATGTGTCTAAGTGCCTCTAATTATGTGGAGTGGTCAATCCACTTCCTTAATTATTTTCATGAATTTTTCCCAATGGTTTACATACTTAGATATGACATGTTGATGTCCTACGATTTAAGCTGACAAGCTCTGTTCAACATTGTGATCTAAAAATGTTTTGTCATGGAAAAAAGACCTCACCAAAACCTATGTGGTTTCCTTTCCTATGTGATTTCAATAAAATACTGTAAACAATATTGCCAAACATATAAATAAGCATGGAGTATTAAAAAATTGCACTTTCATTTGGCATGTAAATGGTTACAATGCATTCCAAACAATTACTTACATTCTCACAGTTTTGCTTTGTAACAATAATACAGAGTATTTACAAGGACATATCATGTATGTAACAGATGCTGTTACTTAGAAGCAATCCATTATTGTCCATTATTGCATATTATAGTGTTCAATGTACATCGCACATTTCATATTATACATCTTACATTTTCCACATAAGCAGTTAATTGCACAAAATTGTATTGTATTTTCACGCATGTAGCAGCTGGCTACATTGAGTGTGTGTAGCACATTTCATTTGTTTAAAGAAACATGTATCCACAATATAATCAACATAAAGAATCATGAGAGTATTAGACTAGAAACAGTGCTAGACAGGAGGAATTCTAGTCCTTGTTCAAATGACCACTGTATCAAATGACCACTCAAGAGTGAAATCCTTGATGTATTGTAACATATAGATATATTGCATATATCATACATTCATAATGGATGTGCTAAAATATTTATGGACCACATCAGCCTTGTATGGCTTCAGTACAATCATAATCACATTTATACATTAAGTCTTAAAATGCAAAGCACTGTTATGGGACATAAACATTTTACAATGAGCCATGGATTTACTGTATGTGCGTATAAGGATCATATTTTGGCTTCTATGTCTAGCTCTTCCTTGGATTGATATAAAATCCAGCTAAATTCTGCCAAGAAATGGGCAGGATATTATGCATGTCATGCCTGGGTCACATTTGCTCCAATTCATCAGCCAGTGCCCAGCCGAGTGAGTATTCTGTTTGAAATTGTATTCAGTTTCGAATAAAATACTTAATTGGCTGGGCGCCAGCCAATGAATTGGAGTAAATTTGATCCAGGCATCACTTGCTTAAGTTTCAGGTAGGTTGCCATAATCTCTCAAGGAGGCTTCCCCCATATGATACATTCACGTTTTAAATAATACATACATGTATTTGTCAATACTGGTAAAATCACAAGGAGAGCATGCATATGGAATACTAGGACTGTAACATACTAGGAGCATCCAACAACATGGAGAAGTCATCTCTAGGTTCATCTTCATGGAATGGATTATGTTCATCTGAGTTTTTTGCGAATGGATTTAAACTAGCGTCGTATTCTCCTGAATCATCGTGGAATGGATTCATTTCTGAGTGATTCACCACATTTTTGTTGACATCCCCAAACTTGAGGGCTTCAGTATCAGTATGGAGGTCTTTAAAGTCTTTTAGTTCAGTTGGGGTGGGAATAGATGGCACTGGATCCTTAACAGGTTTAGGGGGCCTCTTAAGTGGTAGCTCTAGGGCTTCCTCTGGGGAGCTTATACTAGGGGTGTTATTGCCACTACTCATGTAAAACATCTGTGATTTCAGTTTGCTTGATTCTGTTGTTAGTCTTGGTTCTTGTTTGTAATGGTTATCACTTATTTCTAGCTCATCCAGATGTAGTAAATTCTGGGAAAATTTTAATGTTCCTTTCAGGATATCTCTAACCTGTAAATAGAATAGGATACAATAAGATGAAACAATGTGGAAAAACAATGTGGAAATAAAGGATACAATACAAGAACTTAATGTTGAGAATCTAATCTGACATTGAAATTTAAACTGTGTTTTGGCCTTGCATCAAGTTTTGCCCCCATTTAACATTTCTTTAACTAGGGGAAGGGATTTTAAAGGAGGAATGGAGGTAAAGCGGGGTGGGGCTAGCACAGACTTTGTGAGCTTTGTGATACTTGTATAAATTGAACACCTCTGGCAGTCAAATATAATATAACCTACCTGCTTAAGACCAGCTAAAGCAAGCAGTAACTCATCCTCATTCTTCAACTTCTGACTCAACAATGTTGTCTGAATTTTCCCTAAAATGTAACAATATTGTTAAAATCCGAAGATGAAGGAATATGACCCCAAAATAGATCAATCGATCAGACCTGATTTGTCTATTTCAATGAAATACAAGGCATTAACATGCAAAATGTCATCACCTGCTATTTCATACAGACTCTGACTGCAGAACCCTGACTGCCGAAAAACTAACCACTTTTGGTGGTTACATAAAAGTTAGTTTAATAGTTACTATTAAAGAATACAGTGAAATCTAGCTGTTCAAAGAAATGGGCTGAATATGTTTTCTAAACAAACCTATCTGTTCATCCATCTTTCCTGCGCAGTATGTACACATGGCCTGGGACTCATTCAGCTGTCCCTGGACTAAGGCAAGGTTCTGCTGAAGTTCAACCTCCTGTAAAACATAGACAAGACCTCTTAATGAATGAAAATGTACAGGCTTTCTTTGAGGTATCATCTCTTCTTAATGTGAAGGGCAGAGATATTTTCGGGGAGCCTAATCCTAGTTAATTTATTAATAAATGTGATTTGCAGGAAATTATTTCCTTTAAATGTGAAAAGGCATAAATTCTCTTTACAAGCCTTGTCAATGAGTTTTTAGTAAGACTAATCAGGGTAAACAAGTAACTGCTTTAAATGGCTAAATGATAGTCTTATAATTGTTTAGTAACCACCACAAGAACTGTACTGTAAATATGCATTAATTTCTTACCTCTTTGGATGATTTCTTTTTATTTATTTTTGCCCTAGAGGGTAATGTTGCATATTTAAAGGGGGAGCCACTGGGTGGTGGGTCCTCTGGAGTCATCTGATCCAGGTTTTGAAGACTACCACTAAGGGCTGGTGTCTTGGATTCCAAACGTGCCATACTTGATGCTGAAGGTCTCGCATGTTCATTCATGGAAGATTTTCTTTGAACACCATTTACTACAGTGTCTCCTGAAGCAATAATGTGCATATGTGTTAAATCGACTATATGCATTTAGTCGCTAGATTTACTCTTTTGAGTCTAATTAACATTTCTCCAGAGCTAACTTTTTAACATTAAACATTCACCAAAAGGTTGGGTAAAAGACACAAAATAAAGATATACTTTCCAGTGTCACATTAAATTACAAACTCAAATTAAACCAGGCACTAACATGAAATAACATCATCATTTGGTTGCAATTGCCAGACTGCAAAAGTGTAACAATATGTCACAAATATGTATGCTGAATTGCAGTCAGAGAAAAACAGTGGCTATAGCAATATGTCCAAGAAGTGGCAAAATATGTCCAAGAAGTGGCAAAATACAAACTTTGAATAATGAAAATCACATCTTCTAACCTGACTCAGATTCTAAATAAGGGGCACTAGAAGATTTGCCAATAGGTGACACTGCTGGTTCAGAGGCATTTTGTTTGTATGTTAGGTTAGCAGGACGAGTGCCGACTGCACTAATACCAGTGTTCATCTTTTCAATGTTCTTAGTTAGAGAAGTTAAGCCAGATTTCATCATGTTAGCAGCAGGATTTAACATGTTAGCCCAACTACCTGCAGATGCATCTGTGGAAACAAACACCATGCAGAAAATATTATGGGCTGAGTCAAAATATCATTATAAGACCCTTTATTGCTAATTCCTGTTTTTTTAGCTTAACAGAAGTGTCTTTAACCAGCTCCAAATGCATATGATATTTTAACTGGCCCCTTAGTACTAGTGTTAGTTCGAAACAGTGTGCCACACAGCCCCAATATGACACAGCCACTGCTTTATTTTAAAGCACAGGCAAATATGGGATATTTTTGAGCATGTGTGCTAAACCGAGAATGCAAAATAGAAAGGTTATGGCGATACTGCAATTAAATCAAGATTAGTCTTACACGAAGCCCTCGTGGTAGCCTCCACCTCCCAGTCAATAATATACTGTGCATGAAAAAGGTGGGGGAGGTATATACAGGCTTCATGAAAGACTAAATCAAGACAAGGTAAATTAGTAAATTCAAATTTAAGTAAGATTATGAATTCCACTTGTAAGAAAACATGAATCAAGTTAGTACTAAACCATTGCAAAGCACCCTTTTGCTATGTTAAGCCTCAGTCACATTTGCTCTATGGCAGCCGTAGCTTCACAAAATAGATATAGAAAATCCACATGGTACTGGCTATTCGTATATCTTATGCTGCATATTTCTATCGATTTTGGGAAGCTACGGCCTCCAAACATTTGCCATATAACAAATGAGACAGAGGCATTAATATTAAATGTATGCCTGAACAATTTGTGAAATTGTTACAATGAATTTCTCACCTTTTTGTTTACTCTGTTGCCTAACATGCTGCAGCTTCTGGTATGTGTAATTATGAGGTTTGGGATATTGCTGGAAAATACAAGTAAGTATACAGGGATGACATATATCTTTTATTGACTCTCTGATGTCATTACAATGACATATTAGTCACAAAGATACTTCTGAGAAAACACTGTCATTTTATGTTTTATGGCTACACAGTATACATGCTACATCACTGTTTGAAGATAAATCAAATTAACTCTAATACAAGATATCTACAGTGCGCATCAAAAAAACGCAACAGATTGTTATCTCGGAAAAGCTCAAAACCAGTAATAACAGCATTGATTTCATTCAATGCACTATAAAGCCACGTGTCTCCTCTTTACAATGATATATCATTCATTGATATTTGGTCATGGTTGGGCGAGTAATCATTCCATTTGCAAAGTGGGCCAAAATTAGCTTTTGACCAAGTTATAAACATTGCAAAAGTCAGTGTACGGAGCCCGATGCAATTTTGCAAGAAAACATAAAACCAATGCTGACTGCATCCTTTTCAGTCAATGTATCAAAAAGCCAAATTACTCCTCTTTGCAATAGAATATCATTCATTCACAGGGAGTCATGACTGGCCGAATAATCATTAATTTTGCAAAGTGGGGCAAAATTAAGCTCGGACCTAAGTTTTAAACATTGCAAAAGTCAGTACAAGGGGCATAGGGGCCATTGGATGAAGGTGTGACAGGTGTGGGATAGACTGTAAAGTGTTCATACTCATACTCTTGCAAGAATACATCATATAACCCCTCCAAATTGCCACCACTTCCTTGCACATAAAGATGCGCTCATCTGTCCATGTCATGCATGGTTCAGCCCTGAGTCATCTGTGGGTTAAAGCAGAGAAAAGCAACCCATAAGCAATTCTTTCTCGAAGTTTTGCGATATCTGGTGGAGGAATGGTGAGCACAGATGCTCCTGAGATAGCTCCAAAAGAAAAAGTTACAACAATTCAAGTCAGGGGAACTTCCATTGGCACTTAGTCCTTGTGCTGATTTTTGCAATATCTAAAACTTGGTCAAGAGCCGATTTTGACCCACTGGGCACATGGAAGGATTTCTCACCCAACCATCACCACATGTGAATGAATGACATATCATTGCAAAGAGGAGAGACGTGGCTTTATGGTACATTGAATTAAATTGATGTAGTCATCACTAGTTTTATGATTTTACGAGATAACTAATTGTTGCGTTTTTATTGATACGCCCTGTATAATATGACAAAATGTCATCACTTGTTGCAATTACAAAAGTGTAAACATTTGTTACAGATGATTAAATCCCAGTAACAAAAAATAGTGACTATTGTAATGACCCTTGGGCACATCCATCGGGGAGCTGTAGTGTACCGAGCCAGATACTAGACTCGAAAGAGAGTGTGCTAAATTCAATGCCCCATAAAGGAATCAAACCCAGGACCTTCCTCTCTCAAGTCAGACGCTCTATTGTTATGATATCAAAACTTTGGGAAAAACTTGAATGGTCTTGATTATAATAGGGCTTTCCAGCATGACTAGATTCATTTGAATCGAATTTTCAAATTTCTGAAATGCCATAAATCTATGTGGTCAAATGAACTATAAATATATACCGAGAATGTGTTCACATTTCTTTAGAATCCTAAATCTCGCGAATGAAAAATCCTCGAAATGTGAACACCTCCTAATCTGAACACTTTAATGGCATTCGGATTAGACAGGTTTTACCATAGTTACATAATATGTGAGAATTGATTTATTCAAAAATCCATGTCAAAAAATCCAATATCAGAGGTGCGCAATGAAACCTTCATTGCGTTTGTTGCTGCTATCGGGTGATAGAATCTGTCAATCTGGTTTAGTCTCAAACACAGCTTGTCTGTATGTCAGGTTTATTATTTGTTTCCTCATTCTCTGTTTCTAAAATACGCTCTGTCGAAATTTTCAGTTTTGAATTTCCAAGTTTTCAATGCTAAACAGCTCGCACAAAGGTTTTTCCATTTACAAACCATGATGTGAAAAGTTGAGGTGCAAGTTGTTTGTGACAGCCTATGTGAGCGGGAATCATCCTATGCAAGTTTGAACTCAATGTGTGTGTAAAATTGACACGTTCATTCGAAATTTACTTTGATCTGTGTGTAATTTTTCCAGGATTCTATGTTACTTATAACACAATCAGTGTGACATTTCAACATTCCTTTGGATTTTTGCAAAGTGATTCGAGTCACCTGTAACTCTTTGTGTGACACTTGATAGAACCGGTGAGTGTGTGAATGAAAATAAGTTATGTAAAAAAATTAACTGTTGGTATAACATAGATTGAAAATCGCATACAATGATGTGAGTTTTGAATCATACAGTTCGAGTGTTGCATCATATGGTTCGACTTTTCACATGGATCATGTATCGTCAAATTTTGATACAAAATAAATTCCATATTCATAGGTTGTCACAAGGATTGCCCAGAAAACAAGATTTAAAGGAAATTGGAATTTGTGACTTTATTTAACCTAAAACCATGTGTTACAATTACGGAAAAATGATCACAAAATGATCCATATAAAAAGTTATGCCATATAAAAAGTTTTGTCTGGCGAATGTAAACAAAGGAGGTTACTTTGCTAAGGCTAGCCACGCTATCCACAGGTATACATTATTGTTGTATGTAGAAAGTGAAATCAATTCCAGAGACTGGGCGCTGTTTTATCGCACGCAGAGCTGGTAAGGTCACCATTTTTACTGATATGATCAGTTATATTCCGTGGTAATGTTAACAAAGCTAGAGTTAACAAAGGTCGTGGTCATTTGATAGGGGTGTATAGGTCAAACGTCAAATAACTGTGCTCTGGGGAGTTGCTGTATTTCTAGCTTTTGTTTTTTTAAACCTTGAAATGAAATACTGAAATTAACAATAAACATGATGATACTCTTGATTTAATATAAGTAAGAATATGTCCATTTACCAATACCTTTGATTCTGGTATATATAAGCAATGCTGTCAACTAATATCTTATATGATAATTACGATGAGACAACACATACAACAATACTGCTTCTACATATTAGGTGCGCTTATAGTGCAAATTACGGTAAGATTTTCTTTCAGTGTCTTTTAAATATATTATAAAAGTCTCTTAAATTCAAAGCTTAAAAGATTTAAGTTTAAATGGCAATATTACTTTGGAAGCAGGCTTCCATGAGAACCATTGAAAATTTAGCAAAAATTATTATTATCTATTCAGTTATGTATTTAGGTACAGTCCTATGTTAATTGGAAACTTTGTTATTAGGTTTTGTAAAATTGTTAAATAGAAAAACCTGTTGAAGTAATCAGGTACAAAAAAAGTATATAATCTAATTAATTTAAATTAATTTAATCTTACACTTACACTCTGTAACAAAATTTCTAGCTTTTGAACATTCATCATCTATTTTTGTTTTATTGTACAATTGGATTTTATATTCCACTGTGTACTGCTGTATAATAAATTATAAGATAGGTTTCACACAATGAATTTTTAGCTCAACTTATCTAAAACCTGTAACCAAAGCAAAACTTATGTGCATGACATCTCTCCTTTATGTGCAGTCAGTCTAAGTGAAACTCCACCACAACAAATACGATAAAGGGGTTTTGTATGGTGGTCCAATGGTACTTAACAGAAATCATATGTACATTATGTAAACTCTCGGTACTTAGGCAATCAAATATGGACTGCAGTTAATTTTTTGTACTTGTAGGAGTACTTTGCCAATATTTAGGAAATATCTAGCTTTAACTTAATTTAAATATCATTTAGATCAGATTTCAGAAATTATAATTCCATTGATATGAAAAATTTATAATCCTTATTATGCAATCAACAAGGTATCTACATGTAAGTCTATAGACAGGGTGCAATGGTAACCGGACAACTCATCCCCTAGACAACTCATCCCTGGACAACTCATCCCCTAGACAACTCATCCCCTGGACAACTCATCCCCTAGACAACTCATCCCCTGGACAACTCATCCCCTAGACAACTCATCCCCTGGACAACTCATCCCATGGACAACTCATCCTTTGGCATGTTTGAGTAATTCAATGTAATATTATTAATTCGTATATTATACAAATGATTAACAAGATCCTCCATTTAATCACTTTTGTCACGTAAACAGAACTTCAAAAATGGTTAAGATCTGCACTTCTAACTCTTTCCATTTACATAACGATAGTAAGGTATTAAAGCGATGATTCTGTTGTCCTCTGACTGACAAGTGAACAAAGACTTTCTTGAGGGGAAATCTGGAAAATTGTTTAAAAAACTATGATATACCATGGTACTACAATGGTATTGTCAAGGAGATTATCAACCTATTAATCTGTAATTTGTTTTGTAAATATTTACCTTTGATTTTACTTTTAATATACAATTTCAATATTATGTTAACATTGATTGAAGAAGCTCCTTTGATGTCATTATATGTGTGTTGTTCATATTAGTTCAAATATTCTTTAATCCAAAGATAATAATTCACAGATGAAGTTACTGAAGTTCATGTTTCAAAATTATGCAGAGAGAAAACTTTATTTTTTGTCATGAAATATTAAGCCAGTTGTAATATAAGGACAAAATATGAGTTTTAATGGCACCGTTTGACCATTTTATTTGTATCAATAAAGTGAAAAATAATATTTAGAATGATTCAAGGTGTATTTAATAAATATTTATTTTCCCAAAAACTTAACAATTTGGCTTCATGTGATAAAGGATGAGTTGTCTAGGGCATGAGTTGTCTTGGGGATGAGTTGTCCAGGGGATGAGTTGTCTAGGGGATGAGATGTCCAGGGGATGAGTTGTCTAGGGGATGAGATGTCCCTGGGATGAGTTGTCCAGGGGATGAGTTGTCCAGGGATGAGTTGTCTAGGGGATGAGTTGTCCGTAAGCCGGTGCAATCAGAGTGGCAGTTTATTTAAGAGTTGTTTTGATTAATGATCATTATAGTTTGTGTAGATTCATGGAAAAAATAGTATACATAATGTTGTGGTCATTCATTTTA